TACTAAAATTTTATTATTTTTCATTAAAAATAACACTGGACCTTGGGTAGGTCAGGCTTTGAGTGGGCCTTGAGAGAACTGATGGGTCGTGCTAAGCGAGGTGAGCCCACGAGCCAAACCGGATTTCAAAATGATGGTCTAGGATCAGGCCTAAGATTGGGCCCGAGCCCGAGCCTAAGCGAGCCGGGCCCACCTCGGACCGTTGGCAAACTTTAGGCCGTCCACGGACCGCAAGCGACTTTTACACCCTAGTGATGTGCAGTAGCTTATCAAAATTTCAAAAATCCCACTTATTATAATAATATTAATTAAAAATATTTTCAAATAATATGAATTCGTCCTCAATATTTTTTTTAAAAAAAATTAATAATAATATTGTATGTTGTAATAAATAATTTTTTGGGTAAATTATAATAACCTTCTTTGATATTTAGAAAAAAAATACGATAAGTCCTATAAATTTGACATAATTAGATTAAGCTCTTTTAAAATTTTATTTCACATAACACTTAATTTCCGTTCCATCAGAAATTTGTTAATCATTTGGATCCAAAATTGATGCTGCTATCTTTTTACATTGAAATGTATATTGTACACTATTTATCTTTGTGTCTTTATACTATTTGCGCCGGTTTCAGTTTCTTTAGACTTAGGTCTTGTTTGGCAAGTGAATTTTTTAGCCGAAAAGTTAAAAAGTCACTAAAAAAATCAAAAAGTCAACAACCTATACCAAAAAGTCAAAGATTTTCTTTTCTATCTACTTTTTGCAAATCTTTTCGTAAAAAATCAAAAAGTCATCCCAAACTTACTAATTTTTTTTACATCATATTTTAGCCAAAAAGTCAAACAGTTACTAAAAAAGTATGTTCCCAAACGAGCCGGGAGAGTAACTATTTTAGTCAAAAAATCACTATAAATGGTCACATTACTCTTTCTATTTTTCTGCACATCTTTTCGTAAAAAGTTAAAAAGTTATTAAAATAATTTTAAAAAAAATTATGTAATTATGTTAAAACTGTGAGATTTAGGCTCTGTTTGGTTGTGAACTGAAATCAATTTTCAACACGTGGGCTCGCGTATGACGTTTGGATACGATGTTCAAAAATTGATTCCGCGTGTTAATTCAAATTACATTTTGAAAATCTGTTTGGTAGCAAATATCTTCCTTTCAACGTTTCTGCCTTGTTCATCATCTCCCAACTTTCACGTGAACCTCATCTACACCTGTCCTTCAGATTCATCACGGGTGGCTTCTCAGTGTTCAGATTCATCACGGATGAGTTTCAGAGAGTTTCAGAGGTCAGACTCATTTTATAAATAATGAATCTATCCAACCCGCTTCGTACTCGTATCATATTTCACAAATCAACTGAGTTACGATTTGTGCGTTGCGGACGATTCTTATTACGGGCAACCAAACAACGACGACTGCGAGGTGAAATTACTCACAAAACTATTTACATATTTTGTTATAGGGAAATTATTTGAGAAATTCATTCTAATTTTTTTTTTCAGGTCAAATTTATCAAATTTATTTCGAATTCGACAAGCAAACAGTGGCACGTTCAATCAGTATACACATTCCATCACCGGCGATAATTATTCAACTCCCACTAATCTGGTAAATAAATCCTTCATCCTTCATCTGTTATCTGAAAATGATTTCAAACGAGTCGATCAACCGTTTCAACTTTTTGTTCTTCAAGAATAGTGTAAATCATTCATCTGTTATGTATAAATGAATTCGGAGAAGTTGAAATCAGTTCGTAAATGGTTTATCAGAATTTGGTATGTCGTATTTTTTATTTCAGATCGGTTGTTATTTGAAATTATGAACGGTTTGAACCTTTCTTCTATCAAAGGCATAGTGGCAGTGCCTGGGACACCCGGCCGGTCGTCCCCCGGGTCATTCGGCCGGTCGACCACCCGGTCTTCCCACCTCTCTTCCGGTTTTGTCTTCCACTTTCCATTCCTGAATGGTTTGAACCACCGGTCCTCCCTGAACTGTTTGAACCCACCGGTTTTTTTACTATTTTTTTTCCTTAATTTCAATTAACAACCAATACTGATTTGTTTTGAATTCAAATCAATATAACACAATGTTAAACACATTGTTAAACATTGAATGTTAACTGAATTTTTTTTTGTAAAACATTGTTAACTGAATGTTAACATTGTGTTTTTTTTAATTCAAATTTTTTTTTTTACATTGTTAACAACCAATACTAATTTTTTTTTATCTGATTGTTAATTAAAAAAAAATTACAGATTTCTTTCCTACTATTTAAACACAATGTTAACTGAATTTTGAGGCTTTGAGAGCAAAGACACCCCAATGTTAACTGAATTTTGAGGCTTTGAGAGCAAAGACACCCCTAGCGCTGGCACACACGGTTAAAATCAGGGATAGCTACTGTTACATTACCATTTAGACATATATATGTTTATATTTATTTATTTATATGGTAAATAAGACTTATAGAAAATATAGTAAAGTTTTTAATTTTTATAGCATTTCATTTTTTATTAATAATTTATCATTCATATGAGTATGAATTAAAAATAATAATAATGTTATCTTTTTTACATTAAAATATTTTTTATTTTGATCTTATTAAAAGATAAGTCAATATACTTATGTTAAAATTAATTATATTTTTTCATAATTTTTCAACAGATTAGAATATTTATGTATGTATTTTAATTTTTTATTATTTTGAGTCATATTTTAATTTATAGAAATAAATAAATCAAATGTTCATACCATACTTTTTTTTGATCGAGTTCATACCATACTTTACTCTCATTTTCTTTCTATTGGCTGAAATTACATTTTGTAGAATTAAAAAAAAAAGGTTTAGCGAAATTTTTTTTATGCAAAACTTTTTTTGATAAAACAAACAAATATTTTTTCCATGACTACTTGCAAGGGATTGTTTGGGACACAGGAAAAAAAAGTTGGTTTTGGGTTTATAAAAGTCGAATTTTTTTTTTATTTGTGGTTATATTTCTGCTATCTGAATGTTTTTTTTTTTGGTGATTATATTTCTGTTATTTAAATTCAATTAATCTGCTATGTTCTTTTTTCCTTGAAATAAAATAATCTGTTCTTTTTCCTTTATCTGTGTTCTCCTTCAAATCATTTTGCACTGTTATTGTTGTATATCCATCGCAGTGTTCTTTAAAATACTCTGTTCTGCTTGTATATTCATCCCAAACTAGTTTAAATATAATTTGCATATTTATAGATGGATGGAAATAATTCCGATGACAATGAGAACACCAAAATGTGGACGCCCAGAATTGAAACGAAATTAATAAATATGTTGAGAGATGAGGTTAGAAACAATCAAACAACGGGCCGTACTACTTCGTGGACAATTAGGCATTGGAATCATTATGCAAATCAGTTGCACAACATATATGGATTTCGGTATACAGGTGTTAAGGTGCGCCAAAAATATCAGCGCTTGAAAGCTGATTACCAGACATTCAAGCGACTCCAGGCACAGACTGGTCTGGGATGGGATCCTATTATAGGCACTGTTGTTGCACCCGATGAATTTTGGGATAAGGTTTTCCATTAATCTGTACTATTTTCTAATTTTATTTTAAAGGTTTCATGATATATACAATGCTTAATTCTTGTTTTGTACTTGTTGTAGGCTAGCAGAAATGTGAAGAAGTTTAGGACAAAAGGGTTTGAATATTTTCAGGAAATGGCAGAGATTGTTGAAAATTGTTGTGCTACAGGGGCCTTGTCTCGTGCATTCACACAAGGACCCCTTGACTCAGAAGAAGAAGACGACATGTTAAATAAATTTTGGAACGCTGATGCTGGTGGGAGTAACGCTGGTGGGAGTAATGCTGCTGAGGCCATTCCTGTTGACTTATTCGGGGATGAGTATATAGATCCAACAAAGGGCAAAAGTCACAAGAGAGGCCCTGCAACCAGCCAGACTGACAGTGGTCGTTCCAAAAAGTCACGGTCAAGTGGGTTTGATGATGTGTGTGCAGCTTTCACATCCTATGTACAAGCCAAAACAGGGCATTCACGTGCACGAGAAAATGAGACTGAGGCTGTAAGTGCAGGTGGTGATGATTATTCCCTTGATGCATGTCAAGATGCATTGCTTGAGCTTGGGGACATACCACCGTTGCAGTACGTTAGGGCACTGACACTGTTCAAGGATAAGGAATGGCGAAGGTTTTTCATGCGCACTCCTACCCATTTGCGCCTAGCCATCATCCTCGCTTTGCAGTGAACTGAGACGTTCTGTTTTGCTTGTGTTAGCAAATCTTCTTGGCTGAGCTATTTGATCATTTCATTATTCCTGATTTGGTTTTAATTCTTATTTTTTTCATTCCATCATATCCTCTTTCCTTTTCTATGCTTGTATGTTTTTTTTTTTTTTTGAACTTTTAAGTGTTTTCTGTTATATTAAAACTATGGAAGTTATTATAATATGACCATGTGTTAAATAAATTTTGTTATCCTCTGAATTTTACTGTTGCACGAATAACGCTAACTGTTACTGCATGAATAACATATTTTATAAGTATGCTTTTACTGTGATGTAGACAAAGGCATATGTCATCCGACACAGAAAACAATACAATGGAGCTCTCATCAGAGGAGGATGAGGTTGTTGATGATTTTATGGATTTTTTGATGATTGCTGAATAATGCTGACCTATGAACGCGTCAAGTAGTCGCCCGACCGCAGGGAACGTGTCCATTTCAGAGGGTGATGTTACATCTTCGCCTATTAAAATGGCATCCAGAAACAATGTATGAACGTTATGCGAATGGATGCACAACATTCATTTTATTGAAGACCCACTTTACTCATAATGGCTTATCGATACTGAACCATATGCATATTGAGTGTGGAGGAA